ATGTTCATTTTCTGCACTGTTTTCACTCCCCAGCCTTCTAGGAGAAGACCCAGGTAGGAAGCCCTTCCACTAGCAAAGGGCATTTATACTTCAGAAGCTCCATGAGTATTTTTAGTTCCTCCTAAAGAGTTTCAATAACATTTTGCTCTTAGCAAATGTTCCTTAAAGCCGATGTCAGCATTTCCTGCTCTGTAATTACTGTTTGCTAACATCAGGAGCAGGTTCCCAAAATATTCTTTCTTCGTATGAGTAGACCTCACCCACGTGACTCGTTCCAGTGAAATCAGTTGTTTTAAATACTGCCTCAGAGAGGGAAGGAGATTGCAGCATCACAGAATTTCCCTGCCAGCAAAGCACAGGCCTTACAAAGCACAGCTCTGTGAAGCTTTCCGTGTCTAGCCGTACTGGTTCAAGACCTGAAATGTGCTCAGACCTTTGTTGCTGGCCAAATGCTTGGTGACATAGAAGAGTGCTCTCTATCAAGAGAACAGTGTTTTTGTCTGCTATGTGGTAAGCAAGGTAGTGTAGCTGTGTTAATACAAACAGTTTTTAAAAAGCAGCGCCCCTTCTATGTGCATAGGTTGCATGCAGTTACCCTCAGACACAGCTACAATGGCAGATGCAGTATCGTGTGGATGCCTCTACGTGTGCCCAGCTTCAAAAATATTTCTCTCTTCCTCGCTGCTGCGTGGGAGAATAGAAAGAAATACATAAAACAGTCACACTACTAGTTATTCCTCTTACAGACTGTAAACAAAATAAATGGTGTAGAGGTCCTCATACTTTTTAGGTGCTGTTTCAGTGATCTGACTCCTGTTCCTCTACAAAACACCTCCCACTTTCCTTTAAATCCATTGGAAACATAAGCTGTTCCTATTTATCTGCTGAATTGCAGCTGAGTTAAATGGCTACAGTAGCCTAAGAGGCTATGAAGAGGGGTAATAGAAAGGCAGCACCAAGATATGCCTGAAAATAAACTACTCCTAGTAGTCATATGGCATTTCTTCTGTGGTTGCATTCTGACTCAGAATGGAGTTCAGTTGGAGAGAGCTACTGCCCTGCACTCTCAGTCTCATTAGTTATACTTGGGGGCTGCTAACATGCTGAGTGCAAATGATGCTATCTGAGGCATTTACTTGAAAGCCACTCTTGTCCTACCATTCCATCTCTTAATTTACTGAAGTTGATTGAACTTCATTCAATTCTTGTGTGAACATGGGAGATACTTGAAACTTGTCACCAGGTGGGTCACACCCCACATGCAGGGGTTATTCGGTATCTTATTTTCACATCCATTTGCTTTTAGGAATTCAATTTTTAATTACAATTCAGCGCAATGTCTTCATTTCCAGGAAACATGAGTTGCATTGCAAAGGTTTTTTTTTTATTTTATTTTTAACATCCTCAGAAATAAATATCACTAAGGAATCCCCATTTCACAATGACTTCTCCATTTATGACAGGTAACAGGTTGTCTCTAGACTCCACAAATTAATATTACAGTAACAACATGGCATTTGGACTGCTTAAACGAAGATGTGGTCTCCCTGCTGCTATCAGGTGCTTACGGCATCAGATAACCTGAGTGTGAGCACCATGTAAATAATTTTCTATTCCTATCTGTTAAAGCTCTACAGTCATAGAATCATGAAATGAACACAGAATGGTTTGGGTTGGAAGAGACCCTAAAGCCCACCCAGCCCCAACCCCTGCCATGGGCAGGGCTGCCCCCCACCAGCTCAGCTGCCCAGGGCCCCATCCAGCCTGGCCTGGAGCCCCTCCAGGGATGGGCACCACAGCTTCTCTGGGCAGCTGTGCTAATAGCTCCACCATCCTCTGAGTAAAGGATTTCCTCCAAACATCTAACCTGAATCTCCCTCTTTTTGTTTAAAACCATTCTGCCCTGTCACTAGTAGACCATGTAAGAAGTCAGCCCCATCCTACTTATCAGCTCCCTTTCTAGAAATTGGAAGAGTTTTCAGCTTGAACAGTGTAAAAACCACCTTTAAACCACCTTGCAGCTAACAGAGAAGGGCAACAAAAATAAACAAAGCTGTGGACCAGCTGTGTGAGGGAATAATTCTGTTATTTATTTAATCAGGGCAAAATTAGCCTGGGAAAAAATGACCGAGAGGAGAAAAGAGAGAAATCACAAAATAACTGAAATCCTGAGAGACATGGAATAGGTGACTATGGATGATTTCCAGTGCAAGAATATAAAACAATACAAGCAAAAGGCAGATGCTGAGCAAGCAAAAGGAGATAATTTGCCAGTGAGCTCACGCTGAGGCTGCACAGTACCCTGCTACAGGATGATGCAGATCTCCGAAGCTTATCTTGGTCCAAAAGATGAGGGTGATTTGACTTGCTTGGCTAATTGCAAAATGGAAGTGCCCGGAAAATAATAAAGACACAGATGAAAAGTCTGTCAGAAGAAGACAGAAGTACACTTGTCTAACCATCTGATTATTAACAGAACTGAAGCAAACTTCTACAAGTACTTCAGTGGATTAACCAAAATGAAAAGGCTGCTATGTAGATTATCTCTTCTCTCAGTTCCAGTTATTACTCACAAGAAATTGGAAAGATAGGAGTAATTATAATAAAAGCAGAAAGGCGCTTGATAATTTATTTCTGGTTTTTGATCACTTCTTGAAATACTTTATCTTACACCATTGCAGACAAACCAAATTATCTTATTTTACTCATAAGATGTTCTTTTTAAGCTCTGTGGCATCTTTTCTAGGCCAGAGAAAATGGAATAGTATTATAACTGGGAGCTATTGATGTGTGTGAGTTCATCTGGCAGCACACAGTATTTATCCATTTCTCCATTTATGCATTCTGTTTTTGACAGAATTTTGCTGCTTTTAACCTGCTGTGTTTAATGCATTTTCTTATCCAGGGATTGAGAGGTCACAGAGTAACGGAAGCATGGACAAGTCTGGGTCTAAGCCCTTGGCCATGAAGTGAGCTTTAACGATGAGTGTTTACAAAAACTAGATTGATGGGAAGCTAATAGAAGCTAATAGTTGTTCTCCATTTAGCAGAGACTGAAAGAAAACCTTGGTGTCATAAAGGTGTTTAAATGGACAAAAAGCCCCACTGTGTTTGCCTGGAAAAAAAAAATCTTGCTGTGAACCAGGCCTATTTTCTTCAAATAATCTCTAAGGAAACAGCCCCTGCCAAGCTAGGATCTGATTACCAGTTGCAGGCCTCAGACCATAGCCATTATTGTTTTAACATTTCTGCCTTCCTCTTTATCTCAGCATGAACCTGGCTGTATGGGCTGTTGTGTAACCTGACCTTGCTTGGAGATAAAAAGACAGGTTAGCACTCAGGGATCACAAAGACAGAAGCAAAAAGACAGTATTTAGAAAATAAAGGAGGGAGCTCCCACTATATGATTATGTGTAATGCCCTGTGCTGTGCTATGTGGGTGGCCAGTTGAATAGTTCCTTTCCATGAGACCCAGGCAGAAATGTGGAGTTGTTTGGCATATTTTCTCCAATTTTAACCTTGTCTGTGCAGGGAAGCTGTGATTTTCATCACCAACATATCAGTGTGACCTCAGATGATTTCCAGCAGTCTTTGATCTTAGGAAAAAAAGGAAGGAAAAATGTACACGTACATATATAAAGGTTGAGTGCTGGAGGGAAACAAAGCAAATAGTATAACCCAAAGCAGGAGGAGTCAAAAATGATTCTTACAGATCACTTTTTACTGTCGTTTTACTACTGTCCTCTGACCTTTGCATGCAACAAGACAGTGAGCTTAGAGGTCAGCAGCAATTAAGCTCTACGTGTCTTTGGATTTAAGTATCTTGGGATGCTAAAGAAAATAAATGCTCAGTGATTAAGTGTTCAATATCTAAAAGCTAAAAAAGTATAAATAAACAGGAAGAGAGATTCTGTTACTACCAACAGATCAAATTTATACTGACAGCTGTGCACTGCATAAATGGTCACTGTCAAAACCAAAGCGATGGTGCAAGGCTGTGGGGTCACCGCTAAATCACGGTGGAAGCAAAGTAAGTAACACCTCATCTCTCAGAAACAGAGCAACCCAAAACTCAGCTAATTATAGCTTGTTGTTTCTATGATTCTGGAGAGACGTCAAGCCAAGAGTAAGGGAAGCATGTTTTTTTTTCATATCAGACCATATGGCAGATAATAAACGCCTGATATTCTTACTTCCTACATAGGCATGAACAGAAAAAAGTAATGCCTGTAGCAGGGTTTCCTGACAAATAACACCACATCATTCTTCACACATCCTCACTCTCTCACTCCTGTCTTTAATTTATAAGCTCTTCAGGCCCTTGTTGTGCTCTGATGACAGTTCAGGCGTTTTAGTACTATTACAGTAAATGTCAGAAAAGAGAAGGGAATTGCAGCTCAGATAGCTCTGGCTAGGTAGGACTTCTGGTTGCAGCCCTGGCTTTATTCCGAATGGTTCCTCAAAATTGTCTGAGATTCTGGTTAAAGACACAGCAAAACAGTGTATGGTCCCAGTCATCTGTACTGCTGTTTTGTCAGTTGGAAGAACAGGTACGTGTGAGGAGTGGCCTATTTGTAGTATCTAGATTCCAATTAGCTTTTCCAGCTTACTTACACACAGCAAAACACATCTTGTTAACTTGGGCCTTCGGACTTGTCGAGACCAAACCAACCATTTAGCTGCCATGACCTATAGCCGTCAGACCTGTCTTTGCCCTGCAAACAGAACAGTTCTGTGCCTGCTCTCTCGTCAGAATGCTTGAGCTTCTCAACTGAGACAATGAGTTAGGTTACACAGTGGAAAGCTTTGGAAAGTTTTTGGAAAGCTTTATTTTCCTCATCATTTTACAATTGTATTTGCTGAAGGGTGACCGAGAAGCAAAAGTTCATAGGGAACACACCAGCATTTAGCCTGGTTATATCATTCTGGAACAGTTCAGTGGTTCTTTTTCGACTCCTTGATGACCAAACAAATTGACTTTGTGTTTTTTCCTCTTCCAGACTCTGACAGCACCTGCCCCGTTTGCAGATGAAACAAGCTGTCAGTGCAGAGCACCCCACGAGAAGCTGACCATTGCACAAGCCCGCCTGGGAACACCAGGTATGCGTAGAGAATATCAGCAGGCCCATGGGTACTCTCAAAGCACAGGCTTTCTCTTACAGATATGTATCAATACTGGCTTTTGCCTTCTATTTGGAAGCAAAGAGGCCAGCCTGATATCTGGTGCTATCAGGTAAAGGGGAAGAAACCAGTGACTAAAGGACCTTTATTATTTGCTAGAGAAAAAAAACAGGGGAAAATGTTGCAAGCTAGAGTTTGATATTCTCATGGATGCTTGCATGTTGTTCAGAAGGAAGGCTTGCCAGCCCACTCCAGACAGCCTGAAAATTGTGTTGTGTAATGGCTACCACTGGAGTTTCTTTCACTGATTCTCTTGCTGACCACATAAAAATCTTTAGTGGCCTTAATTAAAGACGGTTTGCCCTTTGTAAAGAAAACATTCCTAATTTGTGAGCTCTGTCTGAACATTTTTTCCAGGCTTACCTCTGTGTTTGGGCTGGGGAAACAGAATAATTTCACAGAAAGTCCCAGATAAATATTTCAGCCCCACTGGATTCCAGGAGAATTGTTTTTTTTTTTAAAGCTTTTGCATACTTACTCTACATACTTAAAATAAGCTTCTAGAGTACGTAAGCAGATCCACTGTAGAGGAGTAAATACCAGATTCCTAGTCAGTTGTTCAAGGTATTATGTGGTCCCAAATTTTTATGGACACCAGGATGTCCTGATAGTGGAGATATCTCTCTGTAGAGCTGAAGCACATTCCATGAATGTTAGGGCTCTGTTTTTCTTGTCTCAGTTTCCCTTTTGCTTGAAGGTAACTTCTCTGTGGCACAGCTGTCAGGCCAGTCATTTGGTAAAGAATGTTTTACCTTTTCTGCCTAAAGGCTGTTGCTGAAGATTTCATACAGGGAGAGTTATATGGGTGATAGCGGGTGTAAGACTGAAAAAAAAAGATGAGCTCATTAATAAGAAGGAAATATGAAAAAAGGACAGTGAAGTGCTTATGTGGAAGAGGTGAGTTATGTGGAAAAAAGCCACAAACCAGAGGGAGAAAATGTGAAGCAATAGTAAAAGCAAGGAATAAAAATTTAAAAATCCAGAAGACAGAACTGTCTAGAAAGGCAGAAAGAAAAGAACAAGACATATGGTGGAACTCTGAATGAGACAGGAGGATGACATTTTTGCTAAATTAGAATACGGGGATGATGGATGATAATAAATAGGCTAAGTTTGAGAGAAAACAGCAGAGTACAGAGAAGAAGAAGCAATAAGCAGGATAAAACTCCGCAAGTTCACTCACAGAGAATTTTGAATATCAGAAATGGAGTAGATATTCACAATGATCTTATCTGGGAACAAAAACCTGTTCAGCTGAATTAAATGAAACTAGGGGTCTGTAAAGTCACTGTTGTGTTTCTTTTTCCACAGTTGACAGACCTGTCAGAGTGTATGCAGATGGGATATTTGACCTCTTCCACTCTGGCCATGCTAGAGCTCTTATGCAAGCCAAAACTCTGTTCCCAAATAGCTACTTATTAGTAGGAGGTAAGATCAGAGTAATTTATTGCACTGAATTTTTGCTTCTGTGCTTTAGCATTGGAGTTATTGCTGTGCTCTCACCCCCAGCTGTTAATGCACTATGACTTTGAATGCTACTTTCACTCTGGGGGCTTTCTATAGGTGATTTGCCTTGACTTACATCTTACAATTGCATCAATTAAAGTAAAAGTCAAATTCTGCCCTCAGCAGCACAGGCACAATTCCCATTCTAGTTAAAGCAGGTGTCTGCGTGACTCTGTGCTTAGAATAGCTCCACATGAATAATTTACCTTTTTCAGTTATTCGCTCAAAATTGTTCAAAGATGGAGATGAGTGAATGAGATCAGCCACTCATTTATTTCTGGCTCTTCAGTCCCTCTGCCAGTCAGGCACAGCCCACATCCTCTTGCTGCTGGGTCAGTACTGTGTGTGTGAGCCCAGACTTCACCATCAGCCGAGAAGCTGAATCTAGCCCGTTATCATTATAGACCTAAATGTAGATCATGACTTGAATATATTTTTCAGCTCTCAAGCGTCCGCAGGCAATTTACATTCTTTCCAGCTTTTTGCACTAATTCCTTCTTTTTTGCCTTGTGGCTTGCTAACAGACGCTCAGCACTTGGCATTTGCCAGAGAAGTCACTGGAGAGTGGCTGTTTCCTGCCCAGCTGGCTGTGCAGGCACTGTTCTCGTGAGGCCCCAAGAACATGCATTTCATTTCCAGTTTCCCTGCACCTTTGAGTTTGAGATACATCTCAGAAATATTGCACAATATTCAGCTGCTCAGATGTTCATAGAAAAGATAATAAAGAGATTGTAGATGCAACCTCCAGATGCTTTCTAAGACACTCATTGCATCTTTATTCCAAATCAGTTGGAAAGGGGGAAGGTTTAAAAAAAATTATAGAGGAAAAGAAAATCTCCTTTTAAACATAATCTTCAGTTTTACTATTAAGTTTATGAATGGTGACAATTCAAAGGGAGCTTCCTCAGAGAGAAATGACATCCCTTTGTTACGAAAGAAAAATGTAGGACATCTTGTTTCCCCCTTGATCCAGATAGCCTGCAGTAGAAACAAGTGGATGTGCAAAAGTGTGAAGAATGTGAAACTTAAAAAATGGAAATTATGTAGGTTTTGTTCCTGTTTTTAAAAGGAAGAGAGGTGAAATGATTGTGTCACATATCAGGGAAGGAGCTCTGGGGCAAAAATGCAGCTTTATTGAATTTCATGGCGTAGCTCCACTGTGCCTTTTAGTTCTGGAGTGAAAGACAAAGCAGCCAGCACTCATTAGTACCTTTTCACAGCAATGCAGTGCCTTAGCATGTTTAAAGAATGGGCACTTTTCCACACCCACGTACAATTTGTGCTGCAAAAGCACTGGTGTCACGTGTGTTGCTGTGCATCACAACTGATCCCTTTTATTTCTTATTGTGAAAACAATTATTTGGAGCTAAGATGTTTTTGATAGACATTTATGCCTTCCTAAACCACTCATTAGAGCAGGATGATAGAAATAAAAGGAAGTGCAGACATACTGTGACTGCACTCTATATGAACTAGTAGTACTCAAAAATTGAAATTTCACCTTTCTACAAAATTCAAGCAAAAACTTCTGTTTCCCAATAATTTTAATAGACCCTTTCTTCCAGGAGAGGGTAATGCTAAGGTTACATAAAGTTTGTAAATAAATACAAATGCAGTCTCAGAAAGGAATCTTCCAACTGCAAATGCGTTTTCTCCATTAAATCAGCAGGCATATAAAAATGATGTAATAAGAGAGAGTAGCATTTAGCTAGCTGAAATACACATATATATTGTTATCTGAGTTTGAATTTTGCCTGAGCTCCAGGGTATTTACATTTTGCCTGCTTTAAAGGTCCTCAATGACCATACATCAAGAACGTCCATTTTAAATCTCAAAAAGGACTTTGCCAGAGCCTCGTCTGATAGGTTGACGTTTTCAAATTGGAAAGAAGTGGCTGCTGTTGGGCTGCTCTCATGTGCCTCTGCAGCACTAATAATGTTGCATTTGTCATTTGTCAAGTATACTTAGTGTTTGTCCAGGTGTCACAGAAAAGTGAGACGCAAAGGCATGGGTTTGACCTGTGGTGAAGGGCAAATGCTGTCAACCCAAAGGGTATAAAATTATTCCATGTGGGAGTCAAATGACAATTGCAGCTATAATATTGGACAGAGTTACAGCTGTGGGGACAGGCCACTGCATCTTATGCAACATTATGTGAGTGGAAGGATAATGGCCAACTTTTATAGTCCTCACTAACATGGATGGTGCTTCCCCCTCATTTTAAAAGCAGTGTGATACAGTACTGGCACATCCAGAGTTAAAGATGCATTCCCAGGCTCCACCCTCTCCACTGGAGCATACGGCTTCTCCCAGTCCTTTCCACAGCATTTTTTCTTCTGTAATTTCCCCTTTGATCATGCCATAAGCCTTATTTCTCTTTCTATGAAATCTGCTGAAGTCAAAGCTAAACTCAGAGACAGATTCCTGTAACATTTGCCCCGACTTGTTTTCTATCAGTGGTCATTTCATGAGAAACTGTTCTTCTGTGATTTAGAGCTGTGTGGGCAAATTAATCATTTAGAACTTTGTTTACGTAAGAGCAAACCTTTATATTGTGAGGGCGGTTGAACGCTGCAACAGGGTGCTGTGGGGTTTCCATCTTTGGTGTGCAGCCTTGCTGTAGTCAGACCCCTCCAGGGAAGGGTTGTTGGATTAGGTGTCCAGGTATCTTCCTGTCTCAACCGTTTTGTGATACATGTACTTTGACACTGCAGTTTCCATTTATTTTTGAAGCACTGTCCATAATCAGCCCTGAAATCTCTTGCTTGCAGTGGGACTCACTTGCCTCACGTGGGCTTACGGTACCATGTGAGATATCCTGCAGTATCTCACTTGGGCTCCGGCTGCAGCTCTAGAAAGGGAAGGTCTCTCATAAATCTGTGGTTGTAGTTGCCAACCATGAGCAGATCTCCTAGAGGCCCTGGAGCTCCTCAGAATTAGCTAAGGCGATAGCTAAGTGCTTAGCGTAATTATGGGAAGTGAAAAATATCTGATCCAGCAAATTCTACAGCGGGTGAAGTCATTTTGATGATACTTCCATATTTTAGTTTGCAGTGATGATTTAACTCATAAGTTCAAAGGCTTCACTGTGATGAATGAAACGGAGAGATATGAAGCCCTCAGACACTGTCGCTATGTGGATGAGGTCATCAGAGATGCACCCTGGACACTAACACCAGAATTCCTTGAGAAACATAAGGTATGTTTCTCCTCTTATCCCCCTTTCCCTTATATGGGAATTGAAGGTAAACAGCAAGCGTGTGAAGTTGTGTCAGCTGGAGTAAGTTATTTAATTCAGTTCACTCCAGTATCCAAAGTTAGGTACCTGCCTTGCTTGCCCTCAGTCTGTGTCAGAAAATGCTGTATTTCTCTTGTCTTTTTTCCTCAGTATGCTGGGCTGATTTTTAAATGGCAAAATAACTGAAGAATCATCCATAAACTTATATTCAGGAAAGATCGACCACCAATAAAGCTATAATGCAATGACTGAAGTTCTGTTGAAGTCCTGAATTCAAGACATATTTGTTATTAATGTGAACAGGTGCAATACTTGGCCAGAAATACAAAGAAATATAATCTCTTACAGTTACTGTCTGTCATGCAGTACATCTTAACAAAAGCATAATTTACTAAATGTACTTTGGTGCCCACATGACTCGGCTCTTCCAGTAGCTGAAACAGCTATCTTAGGTTTTCTACAGAATATCACACACAGACAGCCACAGCACTGTGTTAATGACAGTGCTTCTGGAGACAAGCTTTCTGTTCTTTCATTATTATCATAGAACTTAGCAGTTTTAGACCTAAATCTAGTGCAGTATTCTAGGTGATGGCTTTAGGATGAGAATGTCAAAAGAAAGTCAGCTGAAATCGAGAGTTGATCTTCCACAACAACCCCTCTCTGAACCAAAATTCAGTGGTGGTGGCATGTGATTCTTCTTCTGTTCACTGGCAGATTGACTTTGTAGCCCATGATGACATCCCGTACTCCTCTGCTGGCTCGGATGATGTATACAAGCACATAAAAGAGGCAGGTAAGAGCAACTTCACACTTCTAGCACCTTTCTATTCGGCCTCAGCTCAAACTCTTTTACTGCCTTTTGACCACAACTGCTGGGAGAAAAGCAGCAGAGATAACACCATGTTCTCTTACACTCTAAAATCAGGTATTGCTGATTTCAGCAGAAAGATTGATTTTGTAAAACCACAAAGGATGTCCTGTGCTGAATTCCTGCCATAGCCCCCAGGAAAACATTCAAATCTGTCATAATAACAGTCCCATCTTTTTTTCTTTAATGAATTTAGGGTGCTAAACTGATGAAATGAGTTTAGTTCCCATAACAGCCAGCCAACTGCAGTGGCTTGTTGGTAACCATGAATTGATGACTCCTTGACACAGAACAGGCCTGAATATGAGGGCACACTGTAGGCCTTCAGGAGTCATTAGGATCCACTTCTGATTCACACTGAGGGCTTTTTCACTACCCTGGCAGAGAGTTTAAATCATTACCAGAGTAATTAATTTGGCACGACCATTTAGCAGGTGGCTGACTGCCATATTGCGTTGAATGTGAACAAGCTGAAGTTATCATGAGTTTGTCTTCAGTTCGTGGAAGCTGATCTAAGCAGACTGAGTTAAGTCACCCTTTGCTTCTGGCAAAGTGAACAGTGCAGGAAGAGGAATTGATTATTTCTTTCTTCTACTGCTCTCTGGAAGCACTGCTTTGAACAATAGAGAATCCGTCCTCTTCCTGGTCTTAAAAGAATTCAAGAACAAATCTGCTTGATGGCAATTTGTAGCACAGAATGACATTCTCAAGCTATACAATGACAGCAGCAGAGCAGGTATTGACCCAAGCTGTACAAATAAGCTTTTTATAGCAGCAGTTCTTGATCTTTTTCCACTTGCAGATGTCACTGTGGTGTTTGACTCACAGACGTCCTCTGGGAACTGCCGTTCTGCAGGTTCAGAGCCTGCACCACTTCACTTTATTAGGCAGTGGAACAAACACACCTATGGTATGGATGGGACATATAGAAGAGGTGCTGACTGGAAAACTATTTTGTGTTAGGTCTGTGAGGTGCCAAGTTCCCTGTACAACATGACAGGAGCCCTTGGTGTCTGTTATTATCAGACTGAGCTACAGAGTGCCCAGACTTGACACATCCTTCTCTGCTGTCACACCACACAATGTGAGCTTATAACTTCAGGGAGCTGTGTTCTGTCCTTTGTCCATCGCTGAAGGATGCTGGAGAAGTGATTTCAATTTTGTGTTACTGAACTTTGTTAGATGTAAAACAGGAATAATGCTACCTTAGTTTTGAGATCTAATAACATAATGGTCCTAACATTCCAGAATAGCATTATCAGCGTAGTGAATTTCCCCTAGGGCATTTTGTTTTAAATAGAACAATGTTGTGGAAGCATTTGTGCATTTTCCTTAGTTTCAGTACTCCCATTTTCCCACACCAAGTTGTTAGTGAACAGAGAAGCAAATGCAAAGTTTGGAGTCCCAAGTATAGATTTCCATGCACTGCTGTTTTCCTGTGTAGTCGGTGGAGGAGAGGACATACAGACAACAGTGAGCTCTCCAGTGCTATGCTGACTAAACCTCTGCCCATCTGTAAACAGCTGGGTTTGAAAACATGAACTGGTTTAGAATATGAAGCAAGTAAAAGCAAAATCAGTGACTAAAGGTAAAAGGGCTAAAGGCAAAGTGGCTTTTAATGCTTACTTGAAAACAATTCAGCATTTGGCATAGCAAGGGTAGACTTTGGCTTCTGTTAATGAATTCTTGTAGCTCCTATTTATAGAAGCTTCTGGCTTAAAGCGGGTTTCACTGCTTCCAAAAATACTTTCCTGAGTGACTGCTGCATGCCTGAAAAGCATGACTGGGGAAACCTCTCTGCTCTTGATTAGAATAATCTAACTTTGAGAAGAATACTAATTAGAGATCATAAGGAAAACATATCAAATATCATTTAGTCACAAGAGGCTGCTAAGCTTCTCAATTCCTTCCCCATTTGTTTTTCCAGCCCTGTGAAATTTGCTAGCAATGCCTGCCTTCTTAAGCGAATTTGAGAATTAACTGATCAATAGCTTTTAAGACAAAGCACTATTTTTTTTTTGCAAACCTGTTTCTAGTCTTAACACACAGCTCTCTCTCATTAGCAGCTTAATGTTGCAATTACATATAAGTGATAGTAGTAATTTTTTGTGGCACTAAATAACTCGTATGGCAAGGCGTGCTGTTAGTATTGCCTTTGTCACTTGTTTGAACAGGTCAAGTGATCCTGTCTTGATCAGGAACAGTGAAAAACAAATACATTCCTCAGCTGTATTGAAGAAAACAATGCAGCATTAATAAAGTACCAGCTTTGTTAGGTGGAGAAGGAGAGTGATGATACAACCACTTAAGCAGCAAGATATACATGAAGGAGGGGCTGAAGAGCCTGATGGCCTTAGTCCCCACTGTATTTTTGTATTTTGTAATGCAGAGTATACATCTTCTGCCTGAAGGTGCTTTGTGGTTTTGGCCAGTGGTTTGTCTGACTGTTTTTGTTTGGTTGTTTTTTTTGAACTTAGCAGAACAAAGACTGTCAGACAGCACAACACAGGAATGGAGGGGTAAGTAAAAATACACAAGAGAGAAGCAGATTCAGTAGTGTGAGTGGAAGCAAATTGCTTCCGCCAGCGAAGGGCTGACTCAGGAGCCTCTGCCAGTCTGGTAACTTTATCAGGAGTGCAGGGGGAAGGTTTTAGCCTTTCTGCAGACTGAGGAAAAATGAACCGTACAGCAACCTAGCACCCTCTCACAAAGGAACAAGAAGAAAGAACTAAGAACGAGACGGCCAGAATTGCAAGCGTCTTGACTTTGGTTAGGCTTTTTGTGTCCCTTCTCAGCTACCTGCCGCAGTGCCTGGTCCTGCCGTGCTTTCCCAGCTGGCTTTCTTTTCCCACTTTGCTCAGGAATGTTCGTACCAACGCAGAGAACTGAAGGTATCTCAACATCAGATATAATCACAAGGATTGTGCGGGACTATGATGTGTATGCCCGGCGCAACCTCCAGCGAGGATACACCGCCAAAGAGCTGAACGTTAGTTTTATAAATGTAAGTACTCTGATCCACATTTGCTTCTGAAACGTTCTTTCCTAGGACCCCAAAGGTACCATAAAGGGTAAGAAAGTGCATCTCCCCACTAATGTTTTAAAAAGAGAAGACAGAGCTGGGAAGAACTTGATTTAAAATAGATAGGTAAGCTGAAGATAGTTTTAATTCCTCTTAGTAATCAGCGGCTTTCATTTCCATTTTTCACGTTGGTAACAAAGCTGCTGCTCCTATCCCTCCTTGAGCTGTAAATGACTTAATAACATACTAGGAAGAAAATCAGCCCCATAGCTGCTGTTTTCTCAAACACTGACCCAGTGAATGATTTGTTTCTGTATTCTATTGCGAGAAGGCAGCACAGAAAGCAAAGATTTTGATATCCAAACTTTCTCTGCAGTGTGACAAGAGTAATAAAGAAATTAACAACAAAAATGCTGATCCCTGAGATAACTAGAGAAAGCTAAAATAGGTTTTAAAACACAGGGAAGCATGTTAGGAACTAAATATTTAATTGATGCTGAAATTAAAAAAAATCACAATACGTAGCAGAAGAGCATAAGTAGGGCACGAGTGCTGTTTGGAAGGATTGCTCAGAAAAATTCAGCTGCACCTTACCCTCCAGTAAACAGTGACAGAGATGAAAGCTTATTCCCTTCATTTGCTGTTTCAAGTCCCAACTTAAGGCCTTGAGATAACCTAGATTACTGAAATCTTCCTCGTGATTGGGCTAGATCATAGGGGGCTTTACCCCTCCTTCTCTGGAGCTGGGAAGGCCCCTCATGAGTGACTGAATTGTGTCATTTCTTGAGGATTTTATTTACTTGTTTCTTATCGTGAAGTCTGGCAGATAAATTACAGTACACTGGGCATAAATATTTCACCATGTTTCTTCTCAGTCTTTTACACCTTTAAAAATCCTGCTTTAGGTGTTTTACCCATAACAATCACTATTGCAAGTATCCATTAAATTAGGGCACGCTGGGTGCCTTGGGGGTTCTTAAAGTCATTCTTTAACTGCTTTGAGGTTAAGATACTGTTACATATCTTATGCTTCCCCCAGTCTCAAACCCATGAATTCTGAAGTCCCTTCTGACATTTGGTTATTGTAGCTTACTGTAATTGAAATGCAAAAATACTACTTTTTACCAGAGACTTTTTCTGTTTCAAAACAAAAAATGAGATTTCACCAAGACAGAAAAGCATTGGTTTCCCAGGTAATGGAAGGCTGCCTGCTAGGTGCAAAGTGAGTTAGGCTTTTTGGGATTTTAATGATCTTCTTTGGTCCTGTGTCCCAGTCCTTGTGATTCATGAGCTAGAATAACCTCACCCCCCACTACTAAACAGTATGCGTTTGGAAAGCAAATTATAAGGACAATTAAATGAAGTTCACAGGAAATTAAAAGCTAGTAGTATGCTGTGCTGCTGTGGATTTGCATTCTGTTTTCAGGGTCAATGGTTTGGTTAGTTTTGGATGCTGTACTTTTGAGGAGCACAGAAGCATATCAGGACAAAAGCCCTGAAGTACTTTAGAAGCTTGGCCAAATAGTGGCTTTCTAACAGTATCTTCACTTCCGCTCTCTTTCTCTTGGCTACTAAGCAACAGGAGTTTGCTCTGTTTTCTGGCAGTCTGAAGCTCCTGTATTTGCCAGGCTCCGAGATGAATAAAATTTTCCTTCTGCTCTGCAGAAGTCTGACCATAGAGGCATTTGGGACCAAGTCAATATCCAGGCTGGCAAGTCAGCAGCAGAATGCATTGGCCTTTTGCTTTCTATTAAGTTTGAACTGTTAATTTTTCACTTGTAGTCTTGACAAGATTGATAAAATTTTCAAAGCGCATTCAGTTTGCAAATACGTACTGAGTGATGTGGTAGAATAAGCACAGTAATAACATAAAACATCTTTTTCAATATGCACTTTCTGTGCTTCATTACAGATACATTAAATGCATATATAAACATAAAGCAGATACAGTCATGAGATTTGTTTTTCTTCTTTGCATTCAGTGCATAATGTTCCCCAAGTCCCTGTATATTCATCTCTGCCCACACTTTCTAAACAGGAGAAGAAATACCGCTTTCAAAACCAAGTGGACAAAATGAAAGAAAAAGTAAAGAACGTAGAGGAGAAATCAAAAGAATTTGTCAACAAGGTGGAAGAGAAGAGCCATGACCTCATTCAGAAATGGGAAGAAAAGTCCAGGGAATTTATTGGCAACTTTTTAGAGCTGTTTGGACCCGATGGAGCTCTGGTAGGTATTCTGCCATGCCAGGGAGTGTGAGCATTTTTATTTATTTATTCTCTGTAACACAGATTCAAGAGCAGATTCCTTTGCTGCAGTATTTACTTTGAAAGCCAGCACAGTAGGTTAATGCCAGACCTGCTTGCTGAATCCAATAATGCGTGCCAATACTGCAGCAGGAGGATCTGCGATGCCTGTTGCTTCTTTGCAACAATTTCTGTCTTTTTTGTTTATAATTTATAACATTTTTTTTAACCAGTGAGATATCCTGCCGTTAAGTAAGCTGTGAGAGCGGATGCGATACTACATTCAGTCACACAGCCTTACAGCCACTTCTTACTAAGCAAACAGATTTAGTACGGTCTGTTTTCTTCATTAGCACTAAATAAGACCAGATATACAGATAGCACACAGATACACACAGATAGCAGAGATAAGCTGTACACTGAAGTTGGTGGGAGAAACAGGAATGTTAGAAATTTAATTGTTCTGTTCATCCTCTGTACTCAACAGTAGATGATATTTCCTAGTCTTAAGAACCTCTGATTTTATGTACTGAGAAATTCTCATACATGTCTGGTGAGCTGGGTTGTCTAACTGACTGCAGTGAACTTTCAGGTAAAACTGAAGCACTTTTGAAGGTCTCCTTGGTAAGTTCTGGCTCCACATACTCCATTTACCCAGGTCTGGGTGGAAGGGTAGTTAAGGGGCTGTAACAGTATTATCTGGGGGAGAAATCCCAGTGCACCACCTTTTCAAACTAAAATCCTGCATTGAGTGGTGAGTTGGTTACAAAACAGAGTCCCAAAAGAGACCTGGCTCTCATCTTCCAGTTCTGATAGTTGTCAAACATTCTGAAGCCCTGTTTTCTTGTAATGCTTCCCATTGCTATTTTGAAATGGGGAACAAAACTTCTTCTGAATGCAGAAGTATGTAGCTGAACTACATACCATTATGAATAGTACACTCATGTTGAAAGGATCATAGTAGAGCTTCCGTTTATAAACAAATCCATGTCAAGATGGTGAATTAAATAGCCCATGCAACAGTCATGTCAGAACTCGGTGCCACCAAGCTGCCCTTTACTGGAGTTTTCACCATCATCACCCCTCTGCCATCACTTGCCACACTGATTACAGCTCAACAGAGAAAAGCCTAAAAGAAGGCTTCAAGAACATAGACTGCACCTTTATTATCTCCTTACAGAGATGGCTGTCCCATGCAAAGGCCCTCTGAACACCACATGTCCCAGTCTAAGATGTACCTTTGTTGGCCAGTTGTTCACTAGTAATATCATTTTCCTTAGGGAAGTGCAGACCATGAACTGTTCTGGTGAAGAACCCAGGTCTATCTGCATTGACCACATCCACATAAAAAGAGCTTTGTTTGCAAGCTAGTGTTCCCAATGTGGTCTTTTGGCCATAGGTGCTGAACAAGGAGACACAACCAACAAATCAAACCAATGCAAACATCACATGAAATCCACAAGAGATGAGATGCGTTTGGGTGTGCGCTGGGAGGAAGAGAATTTCAAAGCCCTGATCCTATTCCCCTGCTCTACCAAATCAAAATGCACACTAAGTACATTTAAAAACCATATGGTGATAAATATTTTACAGAATTCAGTTTATTAGAGAAAAGCTGGTCTGCAAAGACATTTTGGGGAGATGCTGTGGCTTTCAGCTTGGAAAGCAAATGGTATCCTGGGCTCCATTAGAACAGTGGTGGCCAGCAGGGACAGGGTGGTGATTGTCCCTCTCTGCTCTGCTCTTGTGAGCCCAATCTGGAGTACTGTGTCCAGGTGTGGAGTCCCCAGTACAAGAAAAACAGGGAGCTGTTGGAGAGGGTTCAGAGGAGAGCCACAAAGGTGATGAGGGGACTGGAGCACCTCCCCTGCAAAGACAGGCTGAGGGAGCTGGGCTTGTTCAGCCTGGAGAAAAGAAGGCAGCAGGGAGACCTCATTGCAGCCTTTCAGTACCTAAAGGAAGCCTATAGAGGGGAGGGGAATCAACTCTTTGAAAGGGTGGATAACAGCAAGACAAGGAGAAATGGTTTTAAGCTGAGGGAGGGGAGATTTAGGTTGGATGTCAGGGGGAAGTTCTTTACTGTGAGAGTGGTGAGGTGCTGGAACACCAGAGAGGTTGTGGATGCCCCGTCCCCGGAGGTGTTCAAGGCCAGATTGGATGGGGCCCTGGGCAGCCTGGTCTAGTACTAAAAGGGGAGGTTGGTGGCCCTGCATGTGGCAGGGGGGTTGGAAATCCATGATCCTTGAAGTGCCTTTCAACCCTGGCCATTCTGTGATTCTGTGTCCTGAGTTAATGTCCAGATCACCTAGTGGGAAATCTGATGCAATCAGAGACCTTTGCTAAGAAAAAATCTGTAAGAGTCCAGAGGGGTGTGCTCCCTTTGTACTCTTGTGGGAAAAGCATCAGTGACAGTGAGCTGAGAGGTGTCGTAGCTTTTTTAAATCAGTTTGAGCTTTGCAGCAGGAAAGACTTTTAAAATAATGATAACTTGCTATTAGTGTCAAAACTGTTATTAACATTAATTTGCCCTATCGCTGTTAGTTAGATGTTGCTTTTAATGTTGACAGTAAAAGTACAGGAATGGTTACGGGTGTGGTAGATTCTTAGATCTGTAATTTGAATTCCATTAATATGCTGTTATTATTTCACAAATAGTTATTATAATACACTTTATGTTAGCATCAATTTTCTAAAAGTAAGGGCCACGTAACCCACAAAAAAACAGCAGCTTCTAAAAAAGGTCAAAACGTCAGTTTTCAAAATGAAAAGTTGTAGGCAACTGGTTTATAATTTTGTTCACCTGTACAATTCGCTGTGTGTATTTTTTGAGAGAGAGTCACAGAGGTGTCAGAAACAACGACGATTAATGAGGCACAAAACTTTTGTTCTGGTGTGAGAGTTCCCCAGCACGTCCTGGTGTGCAGCCCCTAATGGCAGACATGGAGCTCCACAAAAACAGAAAACAGTGGGACTAATTTCACCTCATTTCAGAAATCTATGAGCAAAAGAGCTGCATTTCAGAATAGATAAGCAGGAAGTAAAGCTTACAGCGTATGACTTCTGCATGAATCTTCCTCTCAGTGGAATGAACCACTGCAGGCACCCACAGAGGTTTGGGTGAATCTCGTGTGTTGCAGCTGGAGCCAGGGCTGGTGTTAGAATACTTCGTACGTCCACAGCCTGGACCTTGAAAGTCAGCAGAAATATCAATAGCACAAAAGCATTAGTAATGCCTTGCTGGTGCCTGTTTTGTAAGACAAAGGAGTATCAACACGTAGGCAATGTGAGTTCTTTTGCCCAGCCTCTCATGGCACGTAGCTATCAACATAGACCCCACCCTTGAGCAGCATGAATGCAACTACGAGGTATAAAATTCAGAAGTGGGAAAAACAATTCTGTCCAGTCGTAAGTTTGGCAAATCTAAGTATTATCTCCGTAAACCATTGGATGAATCTGAATTTGCTTGAAGCAAGGCTTGAAAATTCTTTTGCTGTCTCCCCAGAAGGTCCTGGCACACAGCTTTGTCCAATCCTCCGGTGTTTCAAGCGAGTCATTAATGTTGTTTTTCCTTATTCAACGCCAGTGGCTAGAGGACTACTTCCATTAGGAACACAGGACTGCAAAGATATGAGTGTCACTTACCCTGGATGAGCAGGGCCAGGGGAAGAGGAGTCATCCTGGAGTAAGGAATAGCACTGCCATCTCCTGCAGCTGGCCGTGGTTTTAGCTGTCAGCCTGGTGCTTCAGGCACTTCTGTGAGAGACACTGGGGACTGGCTGGGCACCCACCTCCCCAGCTGAAGGTGTGAGCACATCAGACTGTTCAGTCACCAAACCCTTTGCTGAAGCAGAGACCAGGAAAATGTCCGATGGTTCAGCTGAGGGCTTTAGCGGGAAGGTGAAATTCTCCTTTCCAGCCCAGGGGCACAGTCAAGTGCCCACTGCCAAGTGGGATAGGTAGAGGGCCAGGCTGGGCCGCTTCAGTTCCCCCCAGCACTGGTACCACACCATGAGGCATCACATTACTGAGCTTTTTGAAGCGGCCAGTAGGTGGCAGGGGCAAGAAAGCCAGAAGTGGTTTTCTTGGCCAGGATAAAAATATATTGAACACCGTGTTTTCAGTAGGGTTATTTTCAGGGAGAGGATGAAACAGGCTAAATTATACCAACACACTGGGTGAGAAATTGGCTGACAGGGCAGGCTGAAAGGGTTTTGCAAGTGGGGTTACGTGGGACTGGCAGCCAGTCACTAGTGGGGTTCCCTGGAGCTCCGTTTTAGGGCCAGTTCTGTTTAGTGTTTTCATCAATGATCCAGTTGCAGGAGTCAGATGTACACTAAGAAAGTTTGCAGGTGATACTGAATTACGAGGAGCTGTTGCCTTATGGAGAGATCTTGACAAATTAAACATGTGGTTGGCAATTACCAACCCCATGAAGCTTAACAACAGTAAGTTCCAGATTCCACACCTGGTACAGGGCCACTATGGACATACATACAAACTGGAGAACAAGAGGCAAGAGTGAAGTGTTGCAGAAAGGGATCTGGGGGTTCTGGCTGGTGACAAGTTGAATCTGAGCCAGCAGTATGCACTGGCAGCCAATGGGGCCAACAGGACCCAGGAGTGCACCAGGCCCAGCACTGTCACTGGGTGAGGGGAGGGGTTGTCCTGCTCTGCTCTGCAGCCTCATCTCCAGCACTGGCTGCAGTGTTGGGCACCGTAATTTAAGGGCAGGAAGCTACTAGAGAGTGTCTAAAGGAGGGACTAGCAGGCACGGGAAGGGGAGGAGGAACAAAATGTAACCTCAAGTTAAGAAAGACTTCAGCAGCCTAAGCAGCATGCCCAGAAGCCAGAACGTATCTCTGCACAAGTATTTGGCTCTCAGACCTGAATGATGACTTAACCTTGCTGGGGATGGCTTTTCCATTCCAGCTAAGCGTCACCTATGAACTGACTCCTGGCACTCCAAGCAACACTGAGAGTTCTTGCTCCTTGTTTCCAAGAGGAGAAACGAGCCACTCTGATTCTGAGTATTCAGCATGAAGCCGACGGCCACTGCGCAGTACAAGCCCTATCGCCTGTAACCGAGTCCCAGAGCTTTACTGCAAGGTCACAGCAGCACTAACCAGCAGCAGCATTTGCCTTACTGTAGCAGAACATTTGCCTGAAAATTTGGTCTGTTCCATCCCACCAGCTATGGAAGGTTCTTGCTCAACTTTAGCAAGCAAAAAACAATAAAGCCCAAAGCAGAATATACAGGCTGCGCGTGTTTCTCTTTTAACAGACATCTGAATTCTGACATTTCCTCCCTGGCCCCAATTGTAAGGGTTTGGGTTGTGCACGTTCCAGGTACCAGGAGAAGCACTTGACAGTATTGGGCAGGCATTGGGCTGCTGCCCTTGAGAAGGGAGCAAGGAAAATGGCCTGCTGGCCAGGCAGCTGAGCAGGAGGCAGGTGTCTGTGCAGCACAGCAAGAAGAAAAGGTCCTGGGAACAAGGGGCACCTGGAGGTCAGGCAGGGGACTTGCTTTGTGAGATGGCATGACTGTCACATCCGAAATGAGCCCAAGGTAGCTCCCCTGGCTAACTCAGGACAACACACGATTTTCTAATACCAAGGCTGTCCTTGCTAAAAGGAAAATCCTGTAATGTCAAAAACCAGCTTATTGCGAGCACAGCCTGAGAGGTGAAGCACACATGGGATGAAGGGGCTGAGCTTCAGAGCAGAAGTCTATGCTGTGTTAGCCCCAGGTGAGGAACCACGCAGAGCTGCCCCTTTCGCCCACAGACCCTTCCTGTCTTGGTGTCCTACTCAGAGCACCTTCCCACTTTGTTTTTGCAGAAGCAGATGTTCCAGGAACGAAGCGGCCGAATGCTCCAGGCTTTCTCTCCGCGGCAGAGCCCAACCAGCAGCCCTACACGAGGCCGCTCGCCATCCCGCTCGCCATCCCCTCCGTGGGTCTTCAACAAAGCCTCCCCGCCCTCCTCTCCTAAAGCCGCCTCCGCCTCCCTCAGCAGCATGAGCGAGGGAGACGAGGATGAAAAATAAAATACAGATATATTTTTTTAAACCATGAGACAGAAGAACAAGCTGTGGACTCAACCGCTGGATAGGGAGAAGCGTGAGGAACATCTGGGGTATCTCTGACAGCGGGGAACGTGCTCTGGGAGATGTTGGAAACAGACTGGAGCACAGCAAGGGAAATCTCAGGAAGAGTGTGTCCCATCCCCGCTCCCTCGCAGTGCCATACTGGCAGCGTTTGCCTGGCATGGTGCTGGGGACTGGCAGGATAGCATCCACCTGCGAGTGAGCTCCTGTCCATGTGCTGCTGCTTCCTGCTGCTGGGGGCCGGCCGGAGCGGGGGGTAGGGGGAAAACCTGTGCTGAGCAGGGCAGGCAGGTGCCACAGTCCTCCACAGTCCACAGATGACCCAGCATGTGGGCACACAGCTGTGGCTAGCGGTTGGAGAAACTGGACCCTGCTAACCCTGAGCTCTTCCAGCACGTGAAGGAAGGGCACTGCTGCAGCAAATATATTCAGAAACAGAAAATGAACCTTCTTTTCTGAATGAAATTCACCCCAGACCTCAAATCATGCCAGCAAAATGGAGAGTTGTCCAGCTGAGCAGACGGAAATTCATTTGATATGTTCAAACTGCTGAATGTTGCTTGTTGACCAAGCCTCTGTTCAGGGCATATGTAAAGATTCCAGCTGTACAAACACCCTGAGCTTTATCAAATCTTTCTCCATGTTCCTAGTGCCTGAACAGCTACGTCACAACCTCCGTTCCCCAGGTTTGCGCTTTGGAGACAAGAAAGTAAGTGAAGACCACCCTAGCTGGAATTTCTTGCGGTGGGAAATAACTGGTCTGAGGACTGGCATTTTCTGCTGGTGAACGGTACTGACATATGTGGAGTCCTGCTACCCAGGAACAGACCGACCTCTCCTGGAAATCCTGCTGCTCCCACACATCACCCTACGGCAGTCCCAGCAGTGCTGCTGTCCCCACGTGCTACTAATCTAGTTGAGAGAAATTTCGCATGAAGCTCTGAACCAAGTATGTCCATAGATATGCTGTCCTTGCATGGGATGCTGGGGCCATTCCTCTACCCCAGTATGGAGAAGAGGCTGGAAAAATTGATGCTACCCTCAGGCAGCCAATGGGGTCCCAGTGACTGCTGATAGGAGGTGGGGCCTATCCATGAGGATGGGCCAAGCTCTGAGCAACCTGATCTAGCTGCCAATGCCCCGTTCATTGCATGGGAGTTGAACTAGATGATCTTTGAGCTCCTTTCAACTCAAACAATTCTGATTCTGTGATTTTAAGTGTGCTTAGGCACTGAAATCTTCTTTCTCTTGCTGTGACATATTTACATCCCCAAGCAGAACTACAGAAGTAGCACTGAGGAAGCTTTCTCCTCTCCATGATGCACATTCTGATCACCGCCAGCTTGGCAAATAACTGACCTGCCTTCCTCCTGGCTCTACCATGCAGCCCCTCAGCTGGCACTTGTCCCCCAGCATTGGAACAGGCTGCCCAGGTGGGAGTCACAGGATATGGCACTGAGGGACATGGTTAGTGGGCTTGGGGATGCGTCAGTGCTTGGACTAGATGACCTTAGCAGCCTTTTCCAATCTTAATGATTCTGTGATGTGTCTTGGGGAATGCTGTGCCAAACAACCCAGACTACGACAGGACCCAGTAACTATCTCAAGGCATGCATTGCCTTCTGGAGCCCAGCTGGCTCCTCTGTCACAGAGCTGCAAAAAGAGGTGAGCAGGGAACAGCAGGGGACAGGACAAACGCCACTTTCATGAAGAAGTGCATGAGGAAAGCCACAGCGAGCTCAGCTGCACACCTGGTGGGATGATGCAATTGAGACCTTTCTCAGCCTTAGGCACCCTGTTACTGTAATTTCATACCTGGGATGCACTTGTTAGTTTCTCTGATCCTTTACAAGTTTAAGTCTTCCCATCACAAACCACTCCTCCACCATGGAACTGTCTGCTCGCTACTGGTGCTGTTCATACGACGAGCCATGTCCAAACACAATGGAGGTGGGCAGGTTTTTCTTGTTCTTGAGTTTTACTGTTCGTTTTGATTTCATAGCCCTGTTCAGCAGCCATTGGTCAGTGGTTGGGGTGGAAGACAGCATCCATGATGTGTAGATGGGGCTGGAGAGAAACTCAGAGTGACCTCTGCTTGGCAGATGCTCTTTCTCGGTCCCAGGTGGTGACCCAGTGACAAAGCCATATCCTGTACCAGCCATCCTTTTCCCACATAGGAGGACATCAATAAGCCGAAGCCTTTCCCCTACTGGTACAGACACCAATATCCATAATGCTATCTCCAGCAAACCAGAACCTCATTGTCTTTGGACACGTGGAAGGCAATTTTGCACTTCTGAGTCATGGTTGGCTTTTATTTTTCATGAGTGTTGCTTTAATTCAGTCCTGTTTGTTGGCCAAGCTCCACATGAAAAATAAACGGTGTACAACAGAGATTTCTGCCTCTCACCTTCATTTTATAGCATGTTGGGGAGCACCAACACAACTCCTGGCACAACCCCATTGACAGCACGGCACTTGTCACCCCCATCCTTTGTACCCCCATACTTCACACCCCACAGACGCCTCCTGAGCAGCCTCTCTGACCTGCCCAACATGTGCTGTTTGGGTTCCTAGTGCTGCTCTCAGGAACCCCTCTCACCTCCGCCCCCAGCAGCAGCTGTTGGTGCTTTGTGAGCCAGGATACAGCTCCTGTGCACCGGGCTCCTGCAGGAGTGCAGCAGCAAACCTGAGCCACAGAGCACAGCTCCTGACACTGCCCCACGCATCTGGCTCTTCTGCAGCTTGGTCAGTCAGACCCTGCATGCTCTGCCTCGCTAACCTTCTTACAGACAAGATAAAAGGGAAATAGTTCCTGATACTGCAGCAGCTGCAGAAATTTGTTTTGTGTTTGTTACTTTGTTTTCCTCTGATAGTTCTGCCTTAGGCAGAGAGCAGCTGAAGCAACAGACAGTTTGTTAGGACTTCCCAGTTGAGACATTAATTACAGAATAAGTTCAAACTTCAAAGTTGCTCAGCACAGCAGAGAACTGCTGAAAGGCCCCCACCAGAACACCCCCTGGCGACATGAGCTTTGTTGCTAAAGGTGGACGTGAGGCATTTTTCACGGCACCCTGCGGCACTTGGGAGACAGAAGACATTCCCAGAGGAAGGTCTCTGCTGAACGCTCACATGAGTTCAGATAAACCTGGCAGGAGTTTCTGTAATACGAAGGAGCAGAAATGAATTTCTGCAGTACATGGCAGAGAGCTCCTGTTCCAGCTCTCATGTAACACCTCAAGGATTCGCTTACTTTTAAATCCCTCTGTCCTTTAAGCATGAAATGTCATAGTCTGAGATCGCTCGTGTAAGGTTATTTAGCTCACAATACTCAAGGAAGAGAAACATTTTAAAACCAGATAATAATGTGTGCATATTAACCATTATTTCCAAATGCAGTAAGAATTCTTCTAAACTGCACCCAGCCGGACTACTGAAGAAGACAACCCTGTGTCCCTGTGTGTAAGCACATGAAGGCAGGAACACACAAAGGGAAAATCCTACATGAAGGCATTAACCAGGCTGCATGCACAACTGACATCTCTCAGTCTGTATTTCAGACTCCAAACCCAGCCTTGTTACATTGAATTACGGCCCCAGCAGCAAATTCCAGAATTTTTAAGCCTATTCTATCATTTTCTAGTCACATTTCCCCACCAGCAAATGACATTTACCAGTAAAATAGGGTAACTGAACTGCAAAGCCATTGACCACTTAGGAAAGGTGAATTGTAACCTCCTCTGTGAAGAGAAGCAGCTTTGAAACCCAGCAGCACTTCAATAGATGCCATGGGAACCTTGTAATTTTCTTGAAAGTTACAAGAGCTTAAAAATCTTAATGGAAATGGAACAATTTCCAGGTAGAAGCCCAGAATACAATTTCATAACAGACATTCCAAGCACCATGAACATCCCATACGTTTCAGGTTCAGGGAGATTTGCACAGCAGGAAAAGGAGGTGCTCACGTGCTTCAAGGAAAACACGCGATGATAAACCACTGCAGCGCACACACAGAGCAACCCAACAACAGGGCTTACGAAATCGACTATCGCTCCCTTTGCTCCAAACCAAGAAGTTCAAGAAGTGGGGATGAGTGGAAGAGTCAGTCCATAGCACTGAGCACTGCAGCAAACGTCCCGTTCCATGGAAATAACAGAGGTGCCTGAGGCTGCAGGCCTCACGCTCCCTTTAGTTACTGCCACTGATCAATCAGGTTCTCACTCAGTAAATGACCCAGTCTTGATCAGCAGTCTTGATCAGCGAGGGCTGCAGAGATCAGGAGGAAATTCCCTCCCAGAGAACAAAGTGGTGAGAGCAGAGGACACAACAGCCTCACTAGGTTTGCAGTGAACTTCCAGATGTACTTACCATGCAGATATCAGCTCCTTAATTCTGCTCCTTTGCTTTACAATCCTAATACCTGTTCTGCTTATGAACCTGCATTCCCTCCAAAATAAAAATCATCTGGAGAAAATTACACTCCTTTTTAAAATACTATTTTACATTTTAAATGGTGATGTTCTCAGACACCAAATATGCTCAAAGTATAAATTACTGCAATTCAGTCTCCTCAAATTACAACTGCTTCTGGATTCCCTTACAGAAATGAGAAAAGGAGAACGTGGGGCTCCACCACAGCCCTACCGTTTGGGGCAGCTGTTCAAAACAGCACTTTCGCAGGAAGAGGCCTGATGCTTTTCTTACCTTGATGTTCTAAGAAAGGAGCAATGAATGATTGCTAAGGAGTAGAACAGGAATTACTCCATTTTCTGAGCTCAGACTACAAAACAAGAAGAAATGAAGTTTTACCCCCAAATACTTTAGGGTGCACATTCCTACCTGCAGCCCTTCACCTTCCCCCATCCTGCATTCCCAAACTATAGAACTTGAGAAGCCTGTCTGTATAAGAAAAGGAGTAGAACAAAACAAGTATCTGTAAAAATGACTGACAGTCATTTCAGAAAAGCTGTTCACCACATCTCCCATGTTGTGGTGTGTCTGCATTGTCATTGTTCTGCAGGGAGATGCACAACTTGCAAGGAACATCTTACATTTCAGATACTGCTCTGATGAAGCATCCATTTTATTTTCTACAGCATCACTGTCTTTGTATATATTTGATGCTGGGTTCTTGGCACAGCAGCAAAACCAAGACCTGCAGTTGAGCTGTATCAGCACGTGATTTTATCCTTTCCAAAACCAAAAAATTGTACCACAACATTCACTGACATGGCAAAGCTTTAGAAAGAAAACCAGAGCTTCCTTTGAAAAGAATCATTCGAAGCCAAAATGGGATTTCACAGGAACAAAAAACACAACATTCCTGACTTACAGACAGATTTGTAGCTCCCAGCTCTGAGTGCCCACCAAAAGGCTGAGGCTCACCCTGTGCTGTCCAGCCATGAGAAGAGCTCCACAGCGTGCAATTCTGAATCAGTCCCTTAAAGATGTCATAGTGTTGTTTTTAGATATTTTTATTTGTCAGCAATGGAAAAGAAAAGGAAAATAAGAGTGTACACAAATTATATACATGGGTATCAGACTAGAAACAATTCCAATGCAAATTACAAGACGACTCAAAATCGGATTGAAAACATCAAGTAATCTCATGAAGAAAGACCTTCCCACTTCACTGCAACCTCAGTTGAAACCAATGCTGCTACCTCAAAGGAATGGCAGCATGTAACCCCGTGGGTGCTGGGCATGGTACATGAGCAGGCACCACAGGACTTCTGCCCGTAACAGATGCTGAAAATGAATTCAATTGATTCCCACTGTCAGAATCCCACATCAAACCCCAGTACAGCTGGCACAAACTCAGCACATTGTCAACAGCTCAGCAGAGAAGGGCAAGCCAGCAAGTTTTGGTAAGGTCAGCTCCTGCTGAAGAGCTGGGTTCTGGCAGCAGCACCAGGAAACCTGCCCTGCCGCTGCCTGTCAGTGCAGTCTGCAGACACAGCAGGTGAACTTCAAAGGACTGTCAGTCTGGCACCTCTCAGATGTATTCAATTGAAAGGAAGAATCTCAATAATGAATTTAGTGAGAGTCCGACAACGATAGAATTATCACAAATACACCGATCCTACCAAACCAGTCTCCAAACTTAAGAAATGAGTTCTCTATGTCAACTTCTGAGATCTTTTAAGGCAACTTAATACCGCAGTATGCGGTACTTTATGCGAACTTTAATCTGCTCATTTGTTTTCAATTAGAGAGATACTTTAGTTCATGAATCTTCATTGCTTCAAATTAACGCCAACAGCTGATCCTGAGAACAGATTCACCAAAGGGGGATTACTCTGATAAGCTGCTGCATGTGCAAGTATTCTGCCGTGAAGTCGCTGCACAGTTTATGCCTGTGTTCCTCACCTCTAGCTCAAAAATACACCATTCTGTCATGTGCCATCACATTCTCCCAAGTTCTGCAAAGACACATGTAGGTATATTCATTCATGACGAGTGAGTATGGCAAAAAGAGGAGGTAAGAGCCACCAGGAACCACAGCACCTGTACGGCAACCAAGGGAACATGCAAACTAATTGGATATCTTGCAGTCAGACCTGGATATTGCAAGGAGATAAACACTAACTATAAACATTTCGTTTGTTTTCTACAGAATGGCTTATATCACTTAAGATCACTTAGCATTTAGCAGCATTAAACATGTATGGATCTAGAAACACTTACTAAAGGTGTTTTCTGTATGAATGAGGTCAGGGTTTCACAAAAACAGTCTGGCTTGAGGCGAACAGAGGATTGTACTACACTCCAGGATGGTCAACCTATTTACTTTGTGGACTGAGTGAACAGTTGTTTAAGCAAAGCAAACATTCCACATGTCACCGAGGAGAAAGGAAATGACATTACCCAGTTGCAGCATCAAGTATAGTTTACATAGACAAGAAGTGGCTTGAGTTTTCCAAGAACACCAGAATTAACATATTCTTTATGCACGCCCCAAGGGAGCTGCCCTAAACGCTGCCCAAGAGATGGCACAAAGTGCAGCAGGACAAAGACTTTTGCCATCACAGCTAAGTTCAGAGACACAGACTGCACCTCAGTGTTCTAAAAGAAGCACTCCAGGATCTTTCTTGTCAAATGCCAACTCCTACAGAGATGCCTTGTTAGCCTCGAAACAAAGCGTAGAGAAAACAGGGAGCAGAGATACGTATGCAATTTGGAGAGGCTTCAGTATCCATTAACATTCAGCTAGACAGGGCATTATTTCTGTACGTTCAAGACAGATGCACCAGAAAAACAGACATTGGAGGAAAACAAGTTCAACTATTCCGTCACAGTACAGCATACAGAAGTTGTTTGTAAACTCCCAGGGAGAATCAAGCAGGACACACCTCTTGCTCAGTTTGTTCTGTTAAGCACTAAACACAAGGAATACACGGTATTTTCATGGAAAACATGTTTTCCTATTTACTGTGTCCCGTAACCCAAGACAAACAAGTTGCAGCAGCATTAACACACATCTGAAATCCATTAAAAAAGACATAGCTTGATACCATCAGAAAGTTAAGTTTGGAATTACCTGCCCCAAAATATTAAAATACATAGATATGACTGATACTAATTAAAGGTAGCAGTAAGTGAAAAAGAGTGTGCAGTTAAGTTAGGCGTAGTTAAAAGCTACCCACCCTCATTTTTGAGGAAAATCCATTGGAAAGCATGTCAAGGCCTGCTGCTGCTGCTTCCTAAGACCATTTTCAGACTAATACTCCTGCGTAGAAGAGTGGCAAGAGGACAAGCAAAGACCAATTTACAGCATACCTGAGAGCTGCAGAACTGTAGAACATACAAGCTGCTGAGTCAATGTTGGAGAGGAGTAAAGCTGTTTCTCATCTATATTCAGTGTGATGCCTGAGGGCAGACTTTGGAAAAGGGAAAGAGCACAAGGAACGCATTTTCTGTTTCCCTGCTCTGGGCAGTTTGTACACGCTCAGGGCTCCCAGAAGTAGTTACCACATCAGGAGGACTTTAGCTTTCAAGTACCAGGGCGCTTCAGTCCTGAAAGTCAGCTAGTTGTTTTTGAGAAGAAAGAGAAGGGACTATCAAAATATAATCCTCCACTGTGTTTTTACTTTCATTTAGAGTCACTCCGCAAAATCAAACTTCAACATTTGCATCCTTTCTCTTCTTTCTGTTCCTTCTCCTCTTCGCGTATGAGGGGGGCAAATTTACTACTACAAAATCTGAGTTCCAACAAAAGCTCAGTTTCAGCTTCATATTTCATAGAATGCTTTTGGTCACCTTCTAGGAAAAACTGACCACACGCAACTGGGAAAACGCTAGTTTTGTCACAAACATCTGCTTTTAAGTAAGCCACCTTCTGTGATGAGTGGAAAAACACACACAGCTTGAAACAATTTCAAGAGGCAGTAAGAAGCTATGGGCAAGGGCAGAAGTTAACCGGCTACACTGCAGTTGGTACAGCTTCCACCTGAAATCTCAGTTGGACTACTACACTGATTTAGCTACAGCCACATGGCTGTATCACTCCAATAGCAATCTGCCTTCCCTGCAGCCGTGCCTACAGTCATAGGAAGTTATTGCTCTGGGGATCACACGAGCTGCACCCTCACTGTGCCTGCAAGGGTTTCCCAAGAAGTGTTGCAGAAGTCTGGCTGGGAACAAACAGCCCCATCAGAGCACTCCATTTCCAGGCTCGGAAGGGCTCTGCTCACAGCCAGCACCAGGCAGCTCCAGCAGCCACTCTGCTGTTTGGGCCTCTGAAGCAGGTTGCAGCACTCAGCAGTCACATTCAAGATCATGCTAGAGCAACCTGGCAATCCAGTGTGACTTAAATGTACAGTGCAGAGATGCTTACAATAACCCAAGCCCTGCAAATTCACGACCATCCCTATACAAATTCTTGAACTGACTGCGACAGCTGGGAGAATCAGTTTGTAAGGCAGGGCCTCTGACTTTTCAGAAATGAGTCTACATGTAACTTATTGCTCAAAGTGCTCTACTATTCTCTGATGAAGAGTGCTATGCAAATTCTAAGTACTATCATTAAGTTAAACTAAGGGTATTCTTTAAAAAAATATCTAGGAATCTCTCAGCATTTCCCTGCTTAGCTAACAGGCCAGTCCTCTACAAAAGGAAATGAACATTGGGAGGACACGGACAGTTCCCCAGAATGCTAGGAAACAAGTTTCAGTTTTCCATGCTAAAATCTTTAATGTCTTTAAAAAAAAAAAAAAAAAATCTAGAAGAAACTGAGGGTGCAGAGTTGCTTACAACTCATCTATTTTATTCCTGTGGCTATTTTATCAGCAGAACTTTGGAACCTCACAGATTCTTCTGAAAGGCCATGGTTGCAGAAATGGTATTTGGCAGAGGCCTGGTGAAGAGCAGTTTCCTAATGCTCAGCAATAAACCCTCACAAGAAATTTGAGGAGATGACACTTAGTTTTTTCCTCTTTAATTTTGTTTCCTTTCAGATGGGTACCAATTGTTTTGCCCTTCCCATTTCTGTGATAATTCCAGTTTCATTTATTCAGATCAATGACGCTTTCCAAAAGCTGGTGTACAACATCTTTATATACACTACAAATTCAGATTATCAGACTACTGTCAAACATTGAATATATAAATAACTTTGCAAACTATTTACAGGTTTTAAGCTAATCAGGTTCCAAGCAACCAACACTCTTAAGGCAAATTTATGTGTATGACTGGCTGTCTGGCCTTTCAGGTTTCTCCCCCTTTTCCCAGCTGCCCCAGAGATTACAAGCAACAAATACAAAATTTACCTCCTGCTCTCACACCGACAGGATTTTTTTGTATGGAGAGATGATGATCTTTCATGAACAACAGGGAAAGTTTAAAAATGCTGTTGTGTTTCTGTGTCAAGAAAATCATTAAAATGTATACCAAAAAGTGGAATTCCCAATGTCTTATACCAACATAATTTCTGTATGCACTGGACAAAAATGGCTTGGGGAATTTGGGAAAAGTATTGGTTTAAAGCTGTACAACCCTTTTCAGAACTACACATTTCTAAGCTCATCAGATATGAGATCTAAAGAGCTCAAAGGGATTTTCTGTAAGAGGTGACACCGCAAAATAAAATGCAGCAAAAGGTGGATTTTCAAAGCATAAGCTTAACTAGACTAGAATCTCTCACACCACATTGCTGTGCAAGATGCTATTCACCATTTAAAGGGATTCTGCACAATTTGCTAATCCTTAGTGGAATAAAACTTGGCACTTAAAATAGTATCTTTTGTCACAACAGTGTATACTTAAGTGCAATCCCTTTTGTCAATGCATGACTGAAGCAACCAAGCATATACTGGTGAAATAGGCAGGATTCACATCCCAAACGTGCTTAGTGCCTCCTGTAAGTCCCAATCATCACTTTGTTCTTACTACTTTTAATGCCCTGATTAGGTCTTTGTTTGGAAGTAATTAGCTATTGTGGTTTGGAGGATTTTGGAACAAAGCAGAGACTTGATACTGAATGCAGAGGTCATCTCCAGCAGAGACAAAAGGTGGCAAATTATCGGTTAGCTTTGTATTTAGAAGCATCCCTTGGTTCACTGCTAGGATTGCTCCAGTCATCTGCTTCAGGTGTGGTCTTGTAGTGCCTCCACGCCGACTTATTAAAAACAGGAAGTCTTTCAAATGATTCACTTGAAAGGGCCTAGGGAAAAACAAAAGCAATGGTAAGATATCAGCTGGAGATACCTAAAGCCAGATGATACCCTGTGGAAGTGTCTCAATTATCGGAGCATTACACATCACAACACTGTTCTGAAAATGCTTTGGCTTTGATCAATCATTCTTATAGTATGATATGACAGTAAAAGTTAAAAGAAAATAAAATTTTAAAATATTTCCCTTCTTTTCAGGGAGGGGTGTTTAAAAAGACAGCAAGAGAAAAAGCTTTTAGTCAGATGCATTTTTAGGCTTATGTACGAGTGCTACTTAAACAATAAACTCAGACTCTGTCAGCACAATTCTAGAAACAGTTAGGCCCATCCACATGCATTTTTTTCCTCTGAGAAACACCATACTTTTTTCCTCTATGGATACTTGCACAAGGTTAAGATCATTAGAAACTGAAATTAAAGCACAATTCCAAAACCTGCTCACTAAATACAGCAAGACACAGTAGCAACTTAGAGTCAACGCCTGGTGCACGAGCTGATCAAATTCAAGCAGTTTGTTTTAATTGTGAGCCCCACACAGCCTGCTACCTCCTGAAAAGTGCCAACAGGGTCAATACAGTCTATTGGACAAAGGTCAAGGATAGGAGAAAAAACTACAAGTCAGTCTTGTTTCAGTTTTGCTGCAATCAAAAGTTTTAGAATCAATGCAGTATTATCAAAAATTCTTTCGAAAAATTCAGCTCTTAGTATACATTAATGAAATGCAAAAATCCAACACAAGTGACCGAAGAAAAGAATTCAAGGCAAGCTGATGAGTATGAGAGTCAAGATTATCTGTTTAAGTTATTTTTACAACTCTGTTCATCGAGGTGAAACATGATAAAAATAGCAATTACAAATTTGAAAACAAATGAAGGAGTGAAAAGAGATAAAGTTCATTTGTACCAAATGGCACCTGCCTGCTATAACCTACAGAGTTGCACTGCACTGCTAATTTATGAAAGGGTCAAATTCATACCTTCAAATAAATTACAGCATCTGATCCAACACCTTCCATTGAGTAGAGTTTTAGGTCACCCTGGAAGTACCTAGCATACAGACGAGAAATTGGCAAGCCATAGCCAAATCCAGCCTAGAAAAAACAAGAAAAAGAAGGAACAAACAAGAAGTTAAAAAAAAAAAAAAGAAGTGCTAAAGATCACAGTGGTTTATAAAACAGAAGATACCTAAAGATCAGGTTTGCGTCTGATTACTCTTCAAGCTTTTCCATATTCCTCAATCTGCACTATCAGTACAGATTCAACACTTGGAGCATTCTTTTTGTTCTAGGCAGTTTTGTTTTTTGTTTTTGTTTTCTTTTTTTTTTTTTTTTTTTACTTTGAAGTACAGAAAGAGAAGAAAAAGAAACAGCAAGAAGTCTTTGTTAGGACTACCTTGTCCACTTTCAAGGCCAGGTTGAATGGGACGCCTGGCAGCCTGATCTGATGGGTGGCAGCCCTACATGCAGCAGTAGGGTTGGAACTGGGTGGGCTTTGAGGTCCCTTCCAACCCTTGCCATTCTGTGATTTTATATTTTCCTCAAGGAGGTAGGTAGGTGTCATACAATACATACTACCTCCAATCATTAAAGCAAACTGGTAACTGTCTGCAGCTTCCTGACTGTGATTACCATTCTGGCTTCGATAATACCATATTTTTAACAGATGCCACATTGCAGCAGAGATCAGAAGACTACTGCAGAGAAACTAACTTCATTAACAACATACAAAGCAACAGAAGACAAATAGTTCTTGGTATTGTTTACTCCTCCAGCAAGAAGTCAGGATTACACAACACTGAAGATCTACTGAGAACGTGTAGATGTGCAGATTTGTCAAAGCACAATAGATGCAACTAATCACAAATCTAAGATCTGTACCTGTCATATTCATAATCACAGCCACAAATAAGTCAGCAATTCACATCTATTCCAACCCACTCATGTCAGAAGTTGACACAAAAATAAAGACGCTCACTGCTGACAGGGAATAAGATTTTGGCCTACGCATCACCTCTTCCAGATGACTGGGGCCATCCTGATAAACACTGCGTTTGATTATTTACTTGAACCTCCCTGGATTTTTCAGGGCTATCCAGTGCAATAAAGGAAAGATTCCAGACATACAAGAATTTGAAAGTAAGGATATGTAAGGCAATGCAGTAACAGAACTCTTCCATGAAGGTGGGTTACAAGAAGAATCTGATAGGAAACTCAATCCACTACACTATTTATACACAAGCAACCTGAAAAATACTGGCAGGAGGGAGAGTAAGAGTAAATAAATTTTGTTGAGCCTATGCAATACTAGGCATTTAATTACTGATTATCATGCTCTGAATCTTGAAAACAAAGCCCCAGAATGACAAAAATAATTAAAAAAGAAGGCTAAGAAGCATGAACTCTGAGCGCTATATGTGGTCTCACTTTATAATAAATCCCTTGGGGCAGAGGGGTGAGTATCATAGAGCTTTTTATTACAGTATCTGCCAGAAATTCTCTTGTTCTCATCATCTCTAGAGCAACTTTTGTCCTCTTAGCATTTTTACAGAAGTGTAAATTTGGTGATCTTGTGTGGTTTACAGGTACTTACGCTGGTGATTAACAGTGCATCTGTGCCATTTCTGTTTCTTGTTTTGCTAGCATAAAGATGCCTTTTTCTACTCATAGTGCTTGTTAATAGTCATTAGTTTTCATTTCCACAATTAGAACAGCTGCTTATATGCACTTTTCCAAACAACAGTTCAAACACTTTGAAACAATCCTCACAGACTCCCATTACAGACACTGGCATCACTTTCTCGCAACCCATTTCAAGATGCATCTCTTTGCTGATCTATAAAAGCAGGAAGTTCCAAAAAAGGTACAGAAGCTTGCCTGCATCTTTTCCAGAGACAGAACAGCATGTTAGTGAAATTAAGAAACAGCTGAACTGCAGCTTGTAGGCAGTACACAGCCCCAGCTAGGGACAAGGGCAGCACTCAGCAGTTCTGAAAACATACTACACTTTCTCCTTTGCAAAACTATACCTCCTTAAAACCCATGTCCAACTTCTGTTTGTCTCCTGCTCCTTTCGGGAAGGTCTTTGTTCACTGCATACCAGTCTGCCTAACTGTGTCATACTTCCCTCTTCCAAAAAATCTTCTGTTGTTTTTTCCTATATTCTGTCTTCAGGTTATTTACTAAAATTGTTGATTTATAAGAAATATGAAGACAAAAGATTCAAAATGAGTACCCTGAAGTATAGCTTTGCTATATTTTCTAAAAAGATGGTTATAAAGAACTGATTGCTACGTTGGTCTGTGACCTAGAGGAAAGAGCACAGTCAGTAATGGTCCATCTGCCTTGAGAAGGGGAAACTTTGTAGGACTAGTTTTACAGGAAATACTCTAGTATGTGAAATACAAATGGGAAAATATTTGTGTTACTAGTGTCAGCACGTTTAATTAATCCTGATTTTCTCCCACTGCAACCAAATGCTAAAGGGAGGATCACTGGACTCCCCTCTTTTAATTAATTTTTTAAAAATTGACTTTTTAAACATTACTGTGTGTTTCTAATGTTTTCATTATGCCTACAACAGCACAAACGAGTACAAAACCTGCTAGAATCAGAATGCTGCCATGGTAACAAGGTCTCTCAGCAGATTTTAAAAAAACATTTTCAATAACAGAATTTTCATCAATCAACAAAACAATCCCTCCTTTCTTCCACTCCCCAAGTCCATGCACATTTCATAAACTAGACAGGAGAGCACATAGCAAGAAGGAGGTTACAATAGAAAAATACACCTATTTACACTGTACTGCAATTTAGTTAATGAACATCACCTAAGCCAAGAATGACAAGCGAGCACAGTGCATGGTAATTCTTCACTGGCTTTGGTCTTGCACACTAAGTGACAAAGAAACCTTCCTTCTGCACAGACTTTGAAGATGACTCATTTATGTGAAACCTTTCTGCTGAAAGATTTTTATTTCTTTACTGACATACCAAGTACGGAATAATTGCTTTTATAATTGAACCCGGACCATAATATGTACTACAAATCAAGGTGCCCTGTGAAAGCCCTTTTTCCTCTGTAACAATGTAATACAATGAATACAGTGTAAATCTCAAGCTGAACATCTTACAATCAGAGTCACAAAGGAGGAAACATTTTAATGGCGAATACAACTGGCAATCAAGGCTCAAGTTTACAGGACGAACAAGTTTCAGGAAATCTTTGTGAGCTCTGATAGTAAATTGCTGATCAAAACTGAGACAGAACAAAGACAGATTATAAATGAACAGAGCTTCCACCGTTCCTGATTTCATGAAGAAAGTTCATATTTGAATTGAAGTCTCTCCCCTAGCACTCGTCTCATTTCAGTTAGGAACTCACTTCTTTTTTTTGATATGAAAAAGGCACAGCACCCTTTGAAACGTATTACTAAGAGGTGCTGTAAAGTTAGCAATATTGAAGGATTAATGTCAAGCCAGTGTAAATACAGAACTGGGCTTCAGACCTACTCATGGTGGCATCAAGCACTTTGAGAACAAACCAGTAGGTTTACACGGCACAGTGCTATGACCTGTGGTCTAAGATAGTTCCACAAAGACTGCTCATCATCTACAAGGAAATATATCATCTCTGAACCGCTCTGATTTGGTTTCTACCTTCTACTCACTGCTAATTACTTTCTGTCACAATAATACATGTATTCTGATATATACATATGTGTGTGTATTCGTATGTAAATATATTTGTATGTATATATATGTGCATGCATGTGTATATATATGTATACACACACACACAGATAAGTAATTTGCTGCCTGAAGCCACTTCAACTGCAGAAGCACCATTAAAAAAAAAAACAAAACAAAAGCTGCCACTTAAGAACATGCTACATGAGAGCATTTTTAAAGAGAAAAAGGAAATCTCCCAAATAATAAACTTTTCCTTGACACTTAAGACAAAGGACTGCAACAGAAGCAAAACAGAACAAAACACAAGAATAGAGACAAGAATGCAATCAATATTAACCCACATACTGAAGTCTGACTGACAGATCTCAAGAGACTGTATCACCTCTCCAGCTGAACACTGGAAACCATCATACCACATGTGAGTCATGGGCTTTTTGTTAAATGCATTTTCACAGTCCAGAACTTAAACAGAAGTAATTTTCCAAGTTCCATATAGCTTGTGCATTACCAGGAGGTATTTCTCAAGTGGTAGAACACACAACGTGGCTCACCTCTTCAGTACATGAAATAAACTCAGATAAACAGTAATTTATATATCTAGGAGGGGCTTTTTAGATTATTTACCTTTTTGGTAACGCGGCAGTAAAAATCCTGCCCACCTACCTGTGATAATGCCATGCTCATGAAGGTATGCTTGTTTCCAAGAATATAATGTCAAGACAAAGAAAAACAACTTCCTGTTCCAAAAACTAAGTGGTGGTAACAGACCCCATTTTATCCTGATGTGTTTTACCTGCACAGAATTGCTAACAATAAGCAATTACTTCAATGGAAAATCTGAACCAGTAGACTTCAATGAAAGGAATGCACAAAAAGACATCGCTTACCAAAGGAACTGCTCTTGTGGGCTCCAAACTAGGCCTGGGTGCTGTTGAGTACATGTAGTTAAACAATCTGTCTATTTTTCTTAAAGGCACACCTCCACCTTGATCACTTATCTAAGGAATGAAAAGTTAGTTTTCAGCATTATGTTCTGAAGAGACTTGTAGAACACGTGAAAGTGTGATATAAATGACTTCAAAAATACTCATGAAGATGAAGCATCAGAGGTCATACAGTACTTAATTTGCTTTTTCAAATTACAAGTCAAATGATTCTAACTACAGCAGGTTGGTAAGCTGCAGTTGAACTTGTTTTTTGGCACTTACCTTAATAGATAGATCTTCTTTCCCCAAAGTGACTAAGGTTTTGATGGATGGATAGCCTTCTCTCTTACCTTCGTGCAACTCCACTGTAGCTCTCATTGAATTCTGAAGTTAAAAGAAAAAAAGTGTCTCTGATTATAAATTTACCACATACATTTTGTGTGTCAACCTAGAACCTGGATATATTTTGTTGAATATCTTGTCCTGTGCAAAGAGAAGAAAGGTCATATTAAAAGAAATTCAAGGAGCGCTTCCAGGTCGATCAGATGTTCAGTTAGATTTCTACACCAGAACTCTACCCTATGACAGAAACTCAGAGAACCTAAAGCAAGAAAAATACTTCTGTGCAAAATCAAGGGACCATCTAAGAGACAACACCATTCTTCCAGTCTGTCTTGCAGAACACCCCTACTGATGGTAGACAGCAAAAGCTGTCGTTTTTCCCAACCTAATGGTTATGGCACAGTCCATCATTCCGACTTTATTGTACCTATTAAGAGAATTTCCACTGCCAGTCCACCACAGATTAACCTTACTTACAGCTGGAATTTACTAGTTTCCTGCTGTTTCACAACTTGTACCAAAGCATACATACGAGCACTGTACAAATCCTCATCTGGTCTTCTCTCAAAGTAACATTACAAGTGACAAAAAGAGGAAAGATTTTAAACAAACATACTTGTCTAGTGCCAGAAATCAAAGCCAAAATGTGATCATTCAGGAAAAATTTCTCTGACCAAGTGCACTGTTTCTCTCCTTGACTTCTCAAGCACAAGTGCACCACCCAGAGACCACCTGTCTTACTCCAGCACATACAGTAGTTCTGTTCCACTTTCATGGTTGTTTGAATGATCCAGAAGACACAAAAAACAGGACAAAGCATGTCATTTACACTACTCACAGACACATGGGCTGCTCTTAAAACAGGCAGAAGACACTGATATTTGCAATAAAAAAGCAAGCTTGTAGAAATGGTAAGATCATGTACCATTATTGCAAAGATTATCGAGTCAAATTCATCAGTATCAAAAGGCCAAATAGAGAGGTGGGAAAACAGATTTTTTTTTTTTAATTATACAAGAGCATAAGAGGTTTGTGAGCTTAACTTTCCCCAGAATTTCAAACTCTTCGCTGGGATAAATACAAGAAAGGAAAACAGAAATAAAACTCTAGAGATGCAACTGAAAAACCCTCAATTTCAATAGTAATGGGAGTTCACAACCCCTTCCAAATATTAATAAGCACAACCTACCTTGAATAATTCAAATAACATATGAAACAAGTGAGAAGGTACATAGACTACTTGAATAGGCTTGTTTGGAGCTTTAGCTAAAACAAAAAAAAAAGAAAAAGGTTATTTTTTCCCCAAACACTATCCTGCAGCATTTCTATTTACAGGACTATCATGAAATTATAGGCAAAGTCATCTAAGCATGTTTTAATTTTGTAAGTGCAGAATACAATCCATGAAAAATCTTGCATAAAAACATATTTCAGTTGCTGTTTTCATCTTAACTGATACATGGTAATGATTTTTTAAGATACCAACATCAGCAAACTTTTAGAACATTCATGAACCTTAATGAATTGGTGGCTGATTTAGTACCAAATGTATGTTATGAACAACAGCTTTCCCACTTAGATGGGGTTCACTTTTCTTAATACATACTATATTTAAGCATTCTTGATGCATGAAGATTCTTAAACTAAGAAAAAAAATACTGCTTAATATTCTAAAAAGAAATATTTCCCTTAAAAGCATAGAAAACATAAGGTATTCATAAATTTTCAAAATATATTTCAAGCTATCAAAATTCCCTCGTTCCAAATCCTAACTTGCTCTATCCACTGCTGACCCTATCATTAGTATTTCAGTAGAGCTGTATGGCATGGCACAGCTCTGTACACCAGAGCACTAAGTGACTGCATTTAATACACTCCAGCACAGTTCAGTGCTCAAGATGCAGTCATTCCTGAAAATTCAAATATCTACTGGTGTTGAAGTTACACAGTCATAGCTTGTCAGACTCAGCAGCAGTCCATATGGAAGAAAGGTCACTTAAATTCCTGTCTCCTAAGCACAGGAAGACACAAATACACATCCAAGAAATGGCTAGAGTCAGTTTCACCCTTTATGGCACTGAGGGCTGATAATTTAAAGACCTACTTCTAAAGACAGAGAATGTATACAAAGTCTAATAATTATCAATACAAATGATGAACAAAGCAATCAGTCAACACACTGATGAAGATCGTCTCATCAGTTTCCTAGCATACCAGCTTGTAGTGATAGCAGAGGTTGCCACAGCTGAGGTGCAAGACCCTGCATTTGGATTTGTTGAATCTCAAAAGATTCACTTGGGCCCCACTGCTCCAGCCTGCCCAGGTGTCTCAGGATGGCATCCTGTCCCTTGGGCACATCAACCACATGCCACAGGTTGGTGCTATCTGCCAATGTCCTGTGAGTGCACACGATCCCACTGTTGATGCCACTGATGAAGGTGTTACAGAGCACTGGTCCCAGTACTGACCCCCTGAGGAGCAACACTCATCACCGATCTCCATCTGGACATCGAGCCATTGACCACCACTCCCTGGGTACAATCTCACAACCAGTTCCATATCTTTCCAATTTGGAGAGGATATTATAGCAGACTGTGTCAAAGACCTTACTGAAGTCTGGACAAATGACATCAGTGGCTCTTCCCTTGCCCACTGACACACCATCACAAGAAAGTGACAAAGTTGGTCAGGCAGGACCTGCTGTTGGTGAAACCATGCTGGTTATCTCCTACTGCTTCCCTTTCTTCCACGTCCCTTAACATAGCTTCCAGGAGGATCTGCTCTGTGATATTCCCAGCACTGAGGCAAGGCTAACTGGTCAGTAGTTCCCTGGATCATCCTTTCTACCCTTCTTAAAAATGGGTAGAATTTTGCCTTTTTTCAAGTTACACAGGACTTCACCTGACGGCCATGACTTTTCACATATCATACAGAATGGCTAGACAACTACGTCAGCCAATTCCCTCCAGATTCTGAGATGCAATACAAGCTGCAGAGTTCAAATTACGACTTAAAATTAATTAGCAAAACCAAAGCCACAGAAACGCCTTTTTCTTAAATAGATTACTTAAATTAAATGAAGTTCTCAATTACCATTGAATTCTTCAACTTCCAGATCAGGTGCCACCAGATAGTACTGTTCACATAACATCTTAGCTGTTTCATAAGCATCTACAAAAAGAGAACACCAATTTTTGAAAAGTCATTAAAGAAGACTAGCAAAGCTCAGTATCTGAAAGACTACAAGCAGAACGTTCACTTTAACTGTTTTGCAAGCATGATGCTAGCATCCATTCTAATCTCTTTGTCTATAGGTTCATTGTCTATTTGTCAATAAAGTATTTAAAATTAAAAAAACAAGCTATTTTTCATTTCTCTCTTTGCTCATTTACCATGTCCCAATCACAATTTAGCACTTGTTCTTTCCAACAGATAAAAAAAGAATGAGACTGCCACCACAAATCCAGGTTTTTATTAATATGATAAGGTTTAAAACGTTTAAATTCCCAAAGTCTTCTCAGAGGTAAACTGAAGTCTAAGATTCCTCATTCTCTCCTACTGAACCCAAACAAAAGGAGCTTCCACAGTATCTAAATTAGTCTTTATGTACTGACAAAATACAGCAAGAAAGTTGAGGTTTGTTTGTTTGTTTTAAAGATTTTTAGTGATTCTAAATATTCACCAATATCTCCTTTGCAAAAGCACTTCAGCAACAAGCATCAAACATTAGCCTAAAAAGAAATTACAAACCCCAATGTTTGCAATTACACTGCTTAAGTTACCTTAAGGAAAATGGTTTCAGGTAATGATTTTTTCCTCATTATTAGAGTTGGCTACGAGCAAGGACATGAACAGATGGGGTAGTTCTGTGGACAAAGAGTATTTTGCTAAGATACTGTAGCGGCTGCATTTGACCCAGTCCTAGGGTCTTCTACCTTCTTCCTGTCCAAAGTGGCACTACAAAACAAAATAGTCACTGCCAAGACAAGCATAACAAATAAAATCACGGAACTAATCAAAGTTGGGGACGTTCTTGATCAAATCCAAGAATGTTTCAAAATCACTCTCCAACAGGAGTCTTTTGTGCCTAGACAGTCAGTTCCAAAGACCTTCTCTAGAAAGGTCCTGTCACTAGCACAACAAAATGCACCCTAGTAAAAAGATCAAAATTCCATTTAATATCCAAACCATTGGATATAATAATACTGGATATATATCTGATGGCCTTGTGAATAATCCTGTACTTTAACTAAAAAAAACACATATGGAGCATAGTTAGCACCTTGACTCAGACAGCCATCAGAAGTTAAAGGTAACTGTGGAGCTATATTGACCGAGGGGCTCTACATGGAGAATGGACTACATAAGCACATTTCAAAGAATTTCCACCTCTATGTGGAAGTGAAAATCAGACGTGGATCAAGAAAGCAGGAGTTGGATTCCTTTATTGTGGAGAAAGAATACTACTAATAAGGTGATAATAAACCTGAAGACATCAATATATGAATGTTCTGCAGATACATCCACTATGTAAAACTCAAGAAAATGAAGGGACTGAAAAATTCCATTAAGCCTCCCTAAATGGAATGTAAGACTCATCCATTTTCAAGAAGTAGCCACCCTGAAGTGCTTGACATGAAAAGACAGGCACTACCACTTCATGATCCAGTTATGCATCCAGAAAAATGTCCGGGTGCAGACACTCTTCTTCTAAAAGTCACCTTCATCTTTGGCAGAGGCCTAGGACCTGTTCAAAACATTCCTCATGTTATGGCTTGAGGTACAACAGGAGTGAAGGATCTATTGGTACATATAAAGTAATAGCCTGAAGGACAAGTCCAGAGTTGCTCTCAGCTCAAATAAGTATAAAGTATTTCTGTAGGACAGTCAGTGAGATAGTGACCCACCTCAGACATTTAAAGATGCTACACTCAGTAGAGCTTCTTGAAGTGAGAAGTGGGCATGTAGATCATTTCTTTTAGGTTTGAAGGGCATACAGAGCCTGTAGCTGACACATCCTGTGCCTAAGTCACATCTTACCTCTGGCAGATTGCTCCACATAACACCTATGCACTAGGTCATTTTAGAGCTAGCACAGTATATAAAATGTATGCTAAGCCCTCTGACCACCTTGAAGATGAAACAGCCTTAATTACTCTGACTTTAGACAGGCTCTTCCTCTAATGACATTTTGTTTCTTTGAAAGACAACAGAGGATACTGTTTTTGATGCCCTGATTTTGTTAAAGGATGTTTTCATATATAGTTTATCTACTGCAGCTACTAGCTTGAAAACTGGACTGAACATCTGTTGATACCATGCACTCCTCTGTCCACAACAGATTACAACTATGAGTTTCATGATGAAATAGATTCAAACACAACCATTAGAAGGAGCATTGAAATAAACAAGCCTGTACCACACAGTGTCAAGGTCAAAGTGGAATAAGATCAATCAAATGAAAATAGAGCTGCTGGAAAACAGCCACCTTAGAAGCCAAAGAGCTAGAAGATGAGAAGCCCTGCTAACACTAAAAATCATCTGTTACAAAGCAAGCTATCATGCAGGCCAAATTCTAACAAAGATCTCTCTCTTAGCTGAAAGCTGACAAAAAGAAAGAGGAAGAAACATTCTTCTCTAGTAACTGCATAAACAGCAGTGAAGGACAGAGGGTGGAATTCACTCCTAGATAAAAACTGTATTTGTAAATAGATACATCCAGAGCATGACTCTTCAATAAGCTGGTTCTTCACAGGAGACAGCATTGCCTCACGCATGTTTACTACTGCTCTGAAAGCATATGAACATTCATAACATGAACATGTCTGTAGTACAAGAGAGAACGGGATGCGATGTGGTAAAATGCATGTGATTAATCACTGGAACAACCACACATCTCAGAACACTGCACTTGAAGGCCAATAAATCAATCAGAAATTGCACTTATTCTCACATTTCTTCACTACCAGCATTAAATAAAAATCACAGTGCCTTAGAACACATTTCTGAGTATTTCAGGGGAAAAAGGATATGTAATTTTAACACAACATTTAAGTACTTAGTCTGATATTAAAAAGGACATACTGAAGTTAAAAAAAATCACGTCTCCCTAGTTCTGCTAATGTATCAGAAATGTAACAGAAGTCTCACTGTTCTTAATTACGGAGACTTCAGAAATTCTCATTTAGCTCATGGCTTCATCGTAAGCAACTGCAACTTTCATTTCTTGTTGTTTTTGTTTTCAATTTATTACATCAATGTACATCACATTCAGTCTTTTGTATCAGAATAGTACATTTATTCATATTCTAAATTGTGGACTTTTCAATCAAAAAAATTGTCAAGTTAGTTTCCTTACCTTTAACCACCTCTGCCACATTACAATTAGGATCAATACTTCCAATATGTTTGGGATGAGCAGGGTTAATGTCTCCTCCAAAAAGAAGCGCTGTAAGGAAAAACAAATGGTGAAAACTTGCCTTTACACTTGAGACAGCATAGCATGTCAAACTCCGATGATACCTCAAAACTTACTGGATAGCACAACGTTCTGTGTAAAGACACTGCAGCAAACTGGCAGAAACCCTGTGCTGAAGACAACTCTCAGCAGCACTCCCACTTGCATGTAAGGTCTGGCACTCACCAAATCCTTCGCTGAGAGCTGAACTCTCAAAGAGGCAGAAAGATCTTAAGCTTTTTTGCAGCAGTGACTTTCTGCTGCTATGGCAAATGAAGCAGTTCTGATAAAGAACTAGAGGCAGTATGAGCTAAGCAAATGATATGAAAGCTTTTCCTATTCCAGAAATGGTGAGGTAATATACTGGCACAATGCTCCTTGTAGAACCACGCCATAATAAACAGTGTCAATAATGAAACACAACATAAATGCAGAGTTATCTCACAGTATGCTTGACACATGAAAGTTACTTGTACACACACAGCATGGCATGTGCTAATCACATGGAAGGTAACTGGAAAGACACACAAGATGTATGAAACCTCACAACGCACTACTCTGCATTTGCTCCCCATCATCTGTGGCGCACTCACACATTAACAGGCCACAACAGCTGAACAGTGGGCAGACAGAGAAGCTCTTAGAGCTAAAAGGTACAAGATACACTCATATCACATGCTTGGCCTTAGCTTTACACACCATCACTCTCTGCATACTTGCATACAATGGTTAATAGGAGCTGTGCAAGTAACTCTTTTCACTGTGTAATGCAAGTATAAAAGCTTATAAGTAACAACACAAAGGAATGAAATCTTGTTGCAAAAGATGACTAATTCTAAAATTTATACTTAAATAGGAGTAGGAAGAAGAGGGAGACAAAGGTGTCATAATTTAAACCTCGAGTCAGAAATACTCAATTAGTATTAGTTAAAAGGCAAGAAAGTCTACATAACTTGATGAAAAACTAAAAAAGATGCACACAGAACACAACCTACTCAAAACCTGCATCCTCCTAGTTGATTATAAACACCAACTCTACAAATGATATTGACAGACTTCTGAGCAGAAAGATCTAAAATTATAATGCATCACTATGCAAGCTGTCTTGTGCCAGCAAGATTGAAAACTGACAGCCACAATGATAACACCCCCCAGTACTGGAAGAAAACATACTGGTGCTTTGGATTCACTCCTGATAGCTGTGAAGTACCAAGTTAATCAGTTGTCAGTACAACTTTACCATCATTAGCACAGAGCATTAAGAATAAGAGTTTGAAAAATACTCAAACAAAAGATATGGCTTCAGGATTACAAGCAATAACTAAAGCTGTTAAAGATGAAATAAGCAATTACTTACTGTGTTGGTTAATAAGCATACGGAAAGAGATGCGGTTGGTGTAGAATCTATCTAGAAAATACTGGATGTTACTGCTAACAAATGGGTCAAAGCCATATTTTTCCTTGTATTCAATCACCCCTTGCGCCATGGTTGGAACCACATCATTGTGTCTGTTCCTGACTTTAATTAAAACGTCTAAAAAGCTAGAAGAAAGAAAATTAGAAACAGATTGTTAAAGATATAATTAAACTCTGCCTCTCATTTCTGCTTTCAACTCTCCACAGCATAAACATTTTATCTATTTACTTTCCCACCCAGCAAACAAAACACAATTGTACCCAAACAAGCCTATTTAAAGGGAAGTCTTACATCAAGATGTCACTCACAAGATCTGTGAAATATTTATTGCCTCGATTTGAGTCATTTCTCCCCAAAACATTTCTTTAAAATAAATATCTTCACCGTAAACAGAAGATTTCCTTATGACCACAGCCACATGCATCACAGTAACTCATTATCTGTAACAGTAGCTGATAGATTGGAGAGGTGATTCAGACAAAACAACTGCTCTTCACAGTTTCCTGACAAGTTTTACACTTTGTGCATTCTTCCCAACACTCCACCCCATGCAATGTAATTTCTGAACGCATTTCTTTACCTGGCATCTATTCTGAAGTCTGAGTGCTGGGATAAGTAAGTGCGATCTGTGTGACTTCAGTTTCGTTTTACACCACTGGATGGCAGAACACATACAACAGTGCTCAGAGCGACTCTTCTCCCTCTGGCAGTTTGGGGGAAGTTTGAGAATATCTCTTGCATTGTTTTAACCAGCATTTCTCTTGGAGAATTTTTGTTGTTCCTACCAAGGCAGCTGAACACCTACCACTTTCAAAGCACTCATCCTTTTTATTCCACACACAAACTCACGCATGCTTTATGTATTAATAGCTTTCCAAAGCCTAGACACAGAAAATCAGAGCTACTCAGTCACTCAGTCAGTGTTGCATTCTATAATGCTAAATATTGGCACCATAATGATCACATAATCTTGTTTTTTTTTTTTAAAAAAAAAAAAAAAAAAAAAAAAAAAAAAAAAA